GGGGCTGTGCGCCCCATGTTGGTTCTCTGGCGAGGAGGGAGGGCCCTGTACGCGCGGAACGGTCGCGCGCGCTATCTGTCAGCGATACTCCGAAGCGCACGTGCGATGAAGCGCCTGCGCGGAAAGGGGCATGCGACCTTCCAAAGAAACATTGTAAGTCGCAAAGACATATTTCAGTCACAAGGCCCATTTACAAAAGTCTAGCTAAAAAATTACCGAGAAGAAAGTGCCCCCCTTCGGCAGGAGGATTTGGGGGTGCCAGCCAAAGGGCGTGTGTTGCAGCGCTGCCGGACGAGGGGCCGCGCATCAGCGGCGGCCGGCCGCGCTACGCCCTGGGCGACACGGTCCGCGTCAACTGCACCTCCGGGCGCTCGCGGCCGCCGGCGCAGCTCATGTGGTTCATCAATGGAGAGCAGGTGCTCCTCCCCCTGGCCATGTTATGTGCGTCTGACTGTGTTAGCTGTGTGTGTGTGTATCAGGTTGACTGCCATCGCGCCTGTATGGGCGGAGAGCAGGTGCTCCTCCCCCTGGCCATGTTATTTGCGTCTGACTGTGTTAGCTGTGTGTGTGTGTATCAGGTTGACTGCCATCGCGCCTGTCTGGGCGGAGAGCAGGTGCTCCTCCCCCTGGCCATGATATGTGCGTCTGACTGTGTTAGCTGTGTGTGTGTGTATCAGGTTGACTGCCGTCGCGCCTGTATGGGCGGAGAGCAGGTGCTCCTCCCCCTGGCCATGTTATGTGCGTCTGACTGTGTTACGGAGCGGGGGGGGGAGGGGGGGCGGGAACGACCAAACCAAATGTCTAACACGTCCGCAGGAAGGAACCCGTAGGACATCGATCACTGGATCACGAAGAGGACCAGAACGGAGTTGGATGCTTCAACGGCGCGAAAGAAATACTTATTAAGACTCTACGGGAGAGAGTGAGAGGATATGTGAGATGTGCGCCGCCTCCATCGCGTGGGCTGCTGGTGACATCCAAATCCATCCAACACACACAAGCACCAGGCGCGCCAGGCAGGAGCGGCAGCCCTGTTAAGCTGCAGACGAGCGCCGCCGCGGCGCCAGCGCAGAGAGCGCAACCGCAGCGCGCGCCAGCGCGCAGCGCCGCTTGCCACGGTGTCCTCGACACCCGGGGGTGCCCGCGGTTGGCCGCTGCCACAGGGGACGCCGGTTTACTTTCCCTCCTTCGTTGTGTAAAGATATTTGCGATCCACTCTCGTGGAGTAGATGGAAAACGGTCTGTTCTACTCATTAAAGAGACTAACTTCGATTTAATCATAGGGTCGGGTTGACGTTTAATCACGCTGTTAGGGTGTCATCCAATCGGATTTTGAACGTCACTTCTGAAGGGACGTTTAAGCTCCCGATTGAATGAAATCTTATCAGCTGATTAAACGTCAACGAATACAATATTTATAGCTAAGAATAGGTTTCCGCAGCCGAGTCATTAGCAACGTGGGCTGGCACGGCA